ACTTCTGATAGATCACCTGATAACTTCTGATAGATCACCTGATAACTTCTGATAGATCACCTGATAAACTCTGATAGATCACCTGATAACCTCTGACAGATCACCTGATAAACTCTGATAGATCACCTGATAACCTCTGACAGATCACCTGATAACTTCTGATAGATCACCTGATAACTTCTGATAAATCAACTGATAACTTCTGATAGATCACCTGATAACTTTTGACAGATCACCTGATAACTTCTGACAGATCACCTGATAACTTCTGACAGATCACCTGATAACTTCTTCTGACAGATCACCTGATAACTTCTGACAGATCAACTGATAACTTCTGATAAATCAACTGATAACTTCTGATAGATCACCTGATAACTTCTGACAGATCACCTGATAACTTCCTGCAGATCACCTGATAACTTCTGACAGATCACCTGATAACTTCTTCTGACAGATCACCTGATAACTTCCTGCAGATCACCTGATAACTTCTGACAGATCACCTGATAACTTCTGATAGATCACCTGATAACTTCTGACAGATCACCTGATAACTTCTGACAGATCACCTGATAACTTCTGACAGATCACCTGATAACTTCTGACAGATCACCTGATAACTTCTGATAGATCACCTGATACCTTACTGCAGATCACCTGATAACTTCTGGCAGATTAACCCCAGAAAGAAGTAAGGCTTAAGTAGGGTCAGGCGTGACATTAGTGAAACAAGCATCAGACCAGACTTCAGCTAGAACAGCAGTCATCTGTAGTCATTTTTATCTTTCTGCAGAATAATGAAGCTCTGCTGCATCTTCACACACTTCCTGCWGCTGATTTGATCTGTAGACACCCCTAACCCTTACCTCCTCCACTTACACCTCTTTAGCTATAGGGTTCTTACTCTGCTCATAACATGACCTCTGTGTACAGTTGCTGCAATGCTTGCCTCCTGGACAGCTGCACAACAGGTGCCAATTATAAAAGGACTCGGCCCAAATCTGCTGACTAGGCTAAACACCAAGAGCTGGAAGGGGATACAGAGGGTCAGAGGGGGCAGGTTAAGTTTTAAAAAGAGGTGTGACTGCTTCAAACAGTTAAAAGCCTCTGTGATGAAACTGAATGAAATCAAGCTTTCACTGTGTGGTCTGAAGTATCTGTGGAGGCATAATGGAACCCTCTCCAGTAGGACCAACCAGTCCCAAACATCCATAAACCCCACCCCCCTAAACATTTAATACCCTCCAAAAGGTCACACTACCCAAAATATTTAATCCCACATACCAAATAGCACAAATACACTTTACTGTTGATTTTGACTGAAAGCATTTCAGCTGCAACTCCTTCAGAGCAGAATGACCAACCTTAATAGTTCCAGAACACCATAAAGATGGATTCAGACTTTGCAAAAAGTGACTTAAATTGTTAGTTCTGTATGAAAATGATGTTATTTTGTTCTTGCGTGAGCTCTGAGAACCCATTCTGTGCACAAGGTCCAGGCAAAACTTTGACTCACTCTCATTTTGGTTCAGATTTTCTGCTGAAGATCAGCTGTCCAAGGCTGTTAGAAAATACAGCCATCTTTACAACTGATCCAACAAAATGTAAACAATCCACAAATAAAACTTACACAGATAGATTATTTTATAAAGAACTCATGGAAGAAGTTGGCACAATTTTTGTACATGAAGGAGATAGCACATAGACACTGGTGGTTCTGCGGCTCTGTGGGTGTGCAAGTCCAAACCAGTTCAAATTCAAGTAAGAACCARTAATGTCAAGGTCTAAATGAATGCAGATCAAAGTCAAAACCAATCAGAACACAGCATCAGTTATAAACAACAACAGAGAACTTGTGTATGCTTGGCCAACTCATGACATTAGACAGTAAACCTGTGTCTAAACTATACTCACTGTGTTCTCAGAATACCAAAACAACAAAGAGCAATCTAGAAGTGCACAGAGAGTGCACACCTCTGCCAAGACTCTGGTAGTTTCCCCAATGAGGGCGCCTCGTCCTATCAACAGACAGTTAACCAAGTGCCCTGCCTACAAAGATAGGCAGGGTCTGCCCCATCCCACCCAAACACTGGATTAGGTAACGTAGCACACTGCTTTCTCAACAACCTTACCATCCAGCAAGCACAAYGCCAAGGTCAGTAATCTAGGATAGTGGTTTCCAACCAGGGGGGCCTCCCCCCAGGGGGGCACAAGTGAGCAAATTTGGGGCCAATAGGTTTGTCTTCTTAAACAGTTGTGAAAATATAAATTTATAGTTTGTATTTAAAAATCCCTGAAAATAAGCCTTTGATACCTCTAATACCTCTGATCACGGCAAACTGCAACTCTGGCAGATGTCAGATCACCACCAAAATTTATTTATTTATTTATCATTGTGTCCCCAATATGTGCTAGAAAGTTCATGAAAATCTGTTCATACGTTTTTGAGTAATCCCACAAACAGACAGACAGACAAATGGTTGGATGGATGGATGGTTGGATGGATGGATGGACATCAGACAAACAAACCAACACTACTGAAAATGCAACCTTGTAAGAGTCAAAATGCAGTTGGATCCAAATTGCAGGCAGGTACAAGGAGCTTGTTAAAAACATCATTTAAGCAGAAACTATGTAAAGTGCTTAACCAGTGGAAGGGGTGACCACAGTTATTTGGTGAAGCCAGAAGACACAAAGAATACATTTAACCAACATGTGTAAGATTGGCAACATTGTTACTGCTGGGAGATGCCAGGAAC